TGGGCTCATGGAGAGGCGAAGGGCTGGCTCGCCAGGCACCGGCACGCTCCCGAGGCTCGGGCGAGTGTCTGCCCGGGGTCGGGCGCGCGTAGTTGCAAGGCTCCAATATCCAGAACGCTGCAAATCCTAGGAGCGCCAGGGATTTGCGGTCTTTGATGCAGAAACGTGCGAGTCAAGAGGGTCCCGGGAGATCATACAGTCTGGGCGAGTGGGTGACTAAATCAGGCGGCCGGTTCTTTGTAACTGAGTGTGCAAGGGGACACAGGCGCTCCTTCTTGCAAGGTGGGCGAGCCTGGCTCTTGCAAAAATCGCAGCTCTCGAAACAGAAGGCGCTTTGCAATCAGCATCCGAGAGGTGTGCGCCGAGGGGCGGAGGAGGGGGGAGGAGGAGGCGGCCGCTTTGAGGCGTGGCCAAAGCAAACTTCTTTCGCGGAAAAAAAAATTGCAAACCAAAACACCCGACGCCACAGCAAGCGCCCCTCCTCCCGGCCCCTGTCCGCCTGGGCCCTGCACCGCCCTCCTTCTTGGCCATGCACCCCTGCCGCGTGCCTCCCTCCGGCTACCGGAATTGACCAATCGCCTCTGGACCACTTGAGACCTTCAGCCAATGGAGCCCCGGGAACTGCCAAACTCTGGAGGGCGCGTGAGGGGCTGAGCTCGTGAAGTTGTCTTGCCTTTGGAAGGGGGCGGGACACTGACCTACATTTGCCCAATGAGAGGCAGCGGTCGGGGCGGGACCGTGACCCAATTGTGACCAATGAGGCAGACGGAAGAGATAAGCACATGGCTCTGCGCGTGCTGCCTGATAGGGGGTGGGGGAGGAGAGGTGCATTTTAAAGGAGCATTGATCCAAATGATTGTTTTAGCAAAGATTGTTGTAGGAAGCAAAAAGCCAAAACACCAAATGGCTGAGGCCTAAGAAGAGGCAGATTGGTTTCGGGAAGAAAGCTACTCTTTAATACCCAAATATCTCCTCGTCGAGACTTAGAATCAGACCACTGAGAAACAGGAAGTATTCTGTCTCTTTAATAGCTTTGTTTTTGGGGTGACTCCCCTCCCCTTGTAGACAGGGTTGAGATGGGCGGCGCAGTCCTCGACGGGGAACCTCAGCGACCCTGGGGGGCACCGTCCACTGAAAGAGAAGACGCCGGCTGGGGGCGACAGCCTTGAGTGGGCGGAGCAGGGAACGTGCAGAAGGGGGCGGCATCGCGCAGGGCCCTATCACGGGGAGGGGGTGCTGCGAGGGGGGGAGCCGGAACGTACCAAGCTGAGAAGCTGGGGGGAATGTCGAGCTGGAACAAACCATGGGGAGGGGCAGCGGGAAGGTGGAATAGGGACGTCCCGATCGGCATTAAGCTAAACTACGTGGAGATATTCACGGGGAATGGGGCTCTGGGCTGTACCATGTTGAGTCCTTAGCAGTCTGGGTTGAACCACGGGAGGTAATAGGGAAAGGGGTCGTACCATTTGGATTCTGAATGGGGGGCTGTCAGGCCGTGGGGCAATATAGGATTGTACCATGGAAACAGGGAAGGGATCTGGATTGTGCCATATGGGAAAGTCACAGTAACGCAAGGCACGGACCCGTAGGTACAGTACTTGTACCACAAGGAAGCTAGGCTCGGGTTATATACCAAGCAAAGCAGTAAAGAGGAAATGGTCTTGGCTGGAGGTGGACTGTACCACTTTGACTCTGAGGGGGACAGAGTGAGCGCTCGGGCTAGGCCACACAGAAGGGAGGACTGGATCTTTTGGAGACGCCGTGGGGAGACACAGAAGCAGATTGGACCAGGACGTGGAGGGGCTGCAGACTGGGCCATACCATGCAGGCGGTAGTTGGGGCCTCGGCAGCGCCTCTCGGGGTGCCGGGGGTCCCTGTTGCCCCTCAAGGCCCTATGGGCCAAAGGCTGCAAGGGCCGGGCGTTCCCGCTGAGACTCTGGAAGATCTGGGATGGAGGATTCTGGCTCAGGAGTCTTAGGGAATGCATCTGCCGTGGGAGGGGCGTGGGAAAGGGGCTGTGAGTAGGCGGAGCATTGTCGGCCCCGCCCACCCGCAGATTGGCTGAACTCTAACCTTGGATTTCCAGTCCGGGGAGAGGGAGGGTCAGGGAAGCCAGGGGTCTCCAGGAGTGGGGGTGGGGGTGCAGACAGAGGTTCACCTGGAGAGAGGTGATGTTGAGGGGTCGGTCAATGAGGATCCAGGTGACAGTCTCTGAGCAGGGTGGGGTGCTGAGAGAGCCCTGGTAGGTGATGAAGCCAAAGGATTCGGGGAACAGGAGCTCCAGGCTCAGGTCTTGAAGAAAATAGGCGTCATCTGCGGGAATATCAGGCCAGAGGGAAGAGGGGTGCCTCTCCTGGCTCCCGCACGACGCTACCAACCCTTCAGCACTTACTCTTGTAGGAGATGCGGGTAATGGTGTCTCGGTTGAGGAGGCGACTGAGGAAAGGGTTTGAGTTACCGGCCACCTGCGTGGGGGTTGGAGGTGAGGAGGCAGGAGCCCTAGAGTCCAAGCCCACAACCCAACCCCCCTTGAGGATCCAACCTCCCTCTTCCGGCAGACCCCGATTCCAGGTGCCCTTCCTGCCTCTGCTCACGTTAACAAAGAGGCTGAGAATGGCGAGACCATTGGGCCCGCGGGAGGCCGAGCTGAGATTCCCGAAGAGTTCCTGGTTGAAGTGAATGAGCTGCACCTGGGGGAGGGGGCGCAGCGTTGGGGGTCCGCCAGCAGAAGGGAAAGAGAGGAGGACCCCAGATTTTGGGGTCAGGTTGAAGGTGCATGCTTAGGAGGGTGGGGTGAGGCATTTAGCAGATGAGGTGGGAGGAGTTGGGGTGACTCAGGGTGAAGGGTCACAGGGAAGAGGTCAGTGGCCACCACCTCAGCAGAGAAGCCCCGATGGTTGATCTGGTGTTCAGAGCCGGCTCCATCTCGAGCTCCAAACAGCAGCCGAAGTTCGCTGAGTCGGTGGCTGTAAAGGAGGGGGCCTCCAGACACATTGACTACGGGCCGGGGTGCAGGCAGGAAGGAGACGTGGCGGCCAGTGTTGTACAGTGTTCCCCGGAGCTGTGAGAGAGGCAGAAGTGGTCAGGGAAGCACAGAGAGGTCTTTCCTGCCCCCATCTCCATTCGCAGAGCTCATCATTGAGTGGACTTGGAGCAGGACCCCCTCTCTGGGCACTGTATTTTTTGAGCTCCTACTGTATGCCGTGGATGTCAGGGCACAGAGCAATGAATGAGGACAAGGGAGAGACAGGCAATAAATAGTGAACCACAAAGTAACTGCACCCCCACCCCCGTCCTCAAGATTGAACCCAGAGCCTTCACACTGAGTTACATACCCAGCCCTTTTTATTTTTCATTTTGAGACAGGTTCTCACTAAGTTGCTGAGGTGGTACTCAAATTCCTGATCCTCTTACTTCAGGCTCCCTTAGTGTCCGGATATCATGCGTGAACCATCGAGCTGGCTGTTACTGCTTAAATTAACTACATGCTGTGCTCATGCTGGGAGAAACTGGGGGCTCTGGGAAAGTGTAATGAGGACCCTGGCTTGAACTGGGGAAGAGTCCAGAGAGGCTTCTCTGAGGATGGGGACATTGGGTTGGACACCTGCAGGACAAGCGGAGGCTCAGTGCAAAAGGGCAGGAGAAGGGCATTTTGGGAAGAGGGACAGCAAGGGTCTGCGGTGGACTGTTTTACTGACAGCAAAGATACCAGTGGGACTGGATGGAGCCTGGGCAACAGAAGAGAGACTGGCACCGGAAGCCAGATGGTGCAGGGCCTCGTGGGCAATGATGGTGTTTTTTTGTTTTGGGTTTTTTGTTCATGTGTTTGTTTTTGTTTCTTGAGACACAGTCTGGCTGTAGTTCAGGCTGGCCTTGAACTCACTGTGGAGACCCTGCTTCAGCCTCTCAAGTGCTGGGATTACAGGTGTATTTTTATTCACTAAACTAAATAGGGAGTGGTGTGTAGCTCAGTGGTGGGACACTTGCCCGGCACATAAAAGTTCCATGCCCAGTAACAGAACATTGACAATTGTGCATGGCTTGCATGTGGCAGAGTGCCAAGCATATAGTAAGTACTAATTAGGTATCAGTTAGGGTTCCTCATCCTGCTGCAGGGTTTTGAGCAGGAGGGTGCTGTAACCTGGCCGGTAGCTGTTGGGTGGAGAACGGATTGCAGGAAGCACAGAAACAGGTAGTGAAGGGCTGCAGAATCAGTCCCAGGGGGTGGGAGATGTCCAGCCCGGGGTGAGAAGTGAAAAGGATTCCGGGGATACTGAGCAGTGAGCCTGGAAAGAACACAGGTGGAAATGGGACAGGAAGGAGGGGATGGCATGGGGAGGGCTCTGAAGCTTTAGGGGTTCAGCTATGTGGACTGTGTGGTGGCGCTTATAAGAAATGGTATTGAGCTGGGGATTTAGCTCACTGGTTCCGCTGCCTGCCTTTGAAAGCACAAGGACCCGAGTTCGATCCCCAGTACGAATAAAAAGAAAGAAAGAAAAAGAAATGATATTGAGCCAGGCATGGTGGTGCACACCTGTGCACTGTGGGAGGCCGGGGTAGGAGGATCTCAAATTATATTCCCACCTGAGCAGCTTTGTAACTTAGTGAGTCTGTCATGGAACAGAAAGGAAGGAAGGATGGAAGGATGGAAGGAAGGATGGAAGGATGGAAGGGTTTTGCAAAGTGGGTTCCAGCACGGACTCTGGGATCACAGCTCCTGGTTCAAATCTCAACGATGACACCCTGGGTTTGTGACTCTAGGTAGTAGCTTAACTTCTCTGTGCCTCAGTGTCTGCATCCATAAAATAAGAATAACAGCACCTATTTCATGGGCTTTTTGTGAGGACTAAGGATTTGTCAATGTTTTAAAAGTGCCTGCCACAGGAAATGTGCTGTTTTTCTTTGCTTCTACAGAGATGGGAAGACTCGGGAGCCATGTTTGGGAAGGGAAGAACACAGGATCTGCTTTAGAGGATAAAAAGAAGTCTTCTCCCCACTCAGTAGGTACCCCCTCCTCCCCAAGGCTGTTTCATCACCCCACATCCACTCAACTGCTCTCAGTGGATCCCATAACTCCTCCCCCAGACCCCTTACCTTCTCTCCTCCTGTGCTGAGCCTCAGTGGGGGCAGGAAGGGGTCATAAAGGATCCTCTTCAGCTCCACATCCACGGGGCTCTGCCGCTTCCCTACAGCACACAGACTCCAGGCTGCGTTCACCAGGCCCCAGAACGGAGGCCCTGGGGGTGGTGTTGGGGGCAGGAGAAAGAGAGTCAGAAACTGGAGCTGGTGCCCAGTCCAGAGAGCTGCTGGGTGGGATGTGGTCCAGACTCCTGGGTCTGAGGGAGGAAGGTCTGGGCTATGGATCCTGTCTCCTAGAAGACCCTTGGAATAGTTTCTCAAGACCCTCTAACACCTCCAATCCTCTCTCTTCCATCGACCCACCTTTAACAGTTATTGCGGGAGGAACTACGACTCCCGGCAGGCTTCAGGGCTGCAGCCTATTCAAGCACTGCCCGCCTGCCCCCGTGGCC